CCTGTGAATTCTTGTGAAGCTATGCAGTGGAAGAAGTTTCTTTTGCTCTTGACAAGAGATTACGGGTCTTACCAAGGTGAGACTTGTAATTTAACGGGAACTAGCACAAAAATTGGCGACAGTGCAAAATGCCCCTACTCCGTTCCCTCTGGGTCGAATAGCCTCTACTTTTTCTACTCTGCCTTCGTTTATATAATACTTATTTCCGAAGTCTATGCAGGGAAACACTCCCCAGCTGTGCCAGATATTTCACTTTATTGGAGTCGCTCAAGATGAGAGATGGGTCCTCTGTGATTTCAATCCACACAGTACCGTGTGTCTCTCAAGGAGAAGATCCATTCTAGCAGTCCAAACCGGGCATGTATTCCGAGAAGGTTCTCCTGTGCTGCTCCTGGGACGCGAGGGGATGCTGCAGAACGAGCTGCCCTGTAAGAACAGACGGTCATCGCTACAATTTGTGTCGCTCAGAGGCCGCTGACTTTTAGAAAATAAAAAAGAAAAAAGTCACAAAAGTGACAAGATTTTCCTTCTAACCTATACTAATTTGTGCGTGGACGTAGGCGCCACGTGTGAGTAATAATGGCCCTCAAATCTTAATTGCCTAAGCATTTCACTAGTCATTCTTATTCTATTTTTTTAGGTAGGCCGTACAGCTCGTGCAGGAAGAGCTGGATTAGCCCTCACTCTTGTTACTCAATATGACGTCGAAGTATATCAAAAGATTGAAGCACACATAGGTGTGTTTGGAATCATTTGCTCTTAAATAGGTCAGATATGCCCTCATAGCCACGCCTCGCATTCAAAAATAGTGATTTTTTTCTCAAATACTAGTGACAAGAGGGTAAGGACACAAGTTTAGGAAAAGGGCAGAGAGAGCCTCATGTTGAACCGAACTCGTACGCGCAAAGGCGAGGAATTAGACGGGCCGTGGTTCCATCACGAGCACGCGGTGCTTTTCTCAAGCATTTTTGTGCTGCGAAAGTAGCACATCCTTTATACTTGCAGTTGCTACTTTTATATCCGAAGAGGCCCGTGAACATCAAATGAAGTGGGGCATGCCCTTAACGTTGAACTGTTTAGCGTGATATACCAACTATTTGCAGGCAAGAAGTTGACAGAATATCCTTGTGTAGAAAAGGATGTGATGCTGTTGGTAGAAAGAACGCAAGAGGCAAGTGAAATGGCTGTCAAAGAGATCAAAGAAATGGCAGAGCGAAAAAAGAAGGGCAAGAAACGGTAAGTCGTAATTGAGTTATCTTTGGGTAAACTGGATGATATGTTACCAGGTGAACTTTTCAGTGGTTTCGATGATATTGACGACTCTGAGGAAGTACCAGCAAAGTTCAAAAAGTCTTTGAAAGGAAAGAAAGGTGGTGGGAAGGCAATACGCAAAGGACCTAGGGTTCGATGATTCCACATAATTATTGTTACCTCTATATCAATTGGTGGCATACTTTGTTGAATTTGTTGTGTCAAATTCCATTTGGGCCGATTGACGACAGTTTTATTGAGTTCTCTGTTTCCTTTATCAATTCCAAAATGTCACACTCATTGGCCTTTGCTTGTTGGCGATATATATTGTAGAAACGCTACTTTATGCTGTAACCCTCGAGTTTGTAAGCGTTGAAGGACTTGCGACGTATTAATCCAATCAGAGAGCATTTATCCTGTTATATTTATCCGCCTGTAGATACTCGCTAGATTACTACGAACGGTGGGATCAGAGCAACTGTATATTGTGTTAAATTGGTTGTAATTTCAACC